TCGCCCGGCGCTGAGATGCGGCCACCTCTGGGGCGGGGCGGCTGGTGACACAGGGACCCCTCGCCCGGCGCTGAGATGCGGCCACCTCTGGGGCAGGGCACAGCAGCTGGTTACACAGGGATCCCTGAGCTGGCGCCAAGATGCAGCCACCTCTGGGGCAGGGCACAGCCGCTATTAAACAGCAACACCTGGTCACCTGAACTGATGGAGGAGCTGCTGTACTTGCTGCCTCCGCCCCCTCGGGGGGCCGGAGTGGGACCCCGCCCTCGCCCCAACCCCGGGCGCCTCCGGCTGTCCTCGGGGCGCGGGTCTCGCTCGCCGTCGTCCCTCTTCTCCGACTCGGTCTCTGAAGCGTTGGACAGGTCTGAGTTGGTACCTGGGAGGGCAGAGCAGGGGGGCGCATGAGCCGCCGTTGGTGGGGGCTGATCTGTACTGGGGGGGATCCCCAAAGCTGTAGGAGGGGCAGGACACACAATACCCCAGGGAAGCGTTGCTGAAATGCAGCCACCTCTGGGGTGTGGCCCGTCAGTCAAGCCACCCCCGCTGTGAAGAAGGGGACATTTTGGCCAAGGCGCCATGGGGCCAGTTACCGTAGCCGGAGTTGGGCCCCCGGCGCCCGCGGCCTCGTCCGCCGTAGCTGCCCCCGTACGTCCGCGTGCCGTGGAGGGAGGAGGAGGTGCTGTCGTCGGTGGCGTAGCCGCCCCGCTCCTTGTCGGCCCGGCTGGAGAGGGGGCGGAAGCCCATGCCGATCTGCCGCAGCTGCTCGTCGATCTGCAGCCGCTCCAGCCGCAGCTGCTCCACCTCCTGGGGAATGGGAAGAACGGCTCGGGGTGAGACTGGGAACCCAGTAACTGCCCAGGCAGGGGGAACCAATTAGTGACTGCACTGCAAGGGGGGATCAATTAGCAGTGGCACCCATGCTGTCTTGGGGCAGGGAACCAATTAATGATTGCACCTGTACAGGGCTGGCAGGGGGAACCAATTAGTGACTGCATTGCAAGGGGGAACCAATTAGCAGTGGCACCCATGCTGTCTTGGGGCAGAGAACCAATTAATGGCTGCACCCATGCAGGGCAGCAGGGTGAACCAATTAGTGACTGCACCCCAGAGCAGGGATACTAATTAGCAGTTGCAGCCTCAGGGCATGTTGTTGGGGGGATGGAAGGAGGGAGGTCAAAAGTGCAGCCTCAGAACAGGAAGGGGAAACAAAAGCAAATTGCGCACACACAGCGGGGGGGGGGGACGGACCAATAAGTAAATGCACCCGCCTGTGCGGGAAACCAGGAAAGCACAGGAAGCAGGGGAACCGACTAACGGTCACACCCGCGAGACACCCACATCGACCCCCCCCCGCCCGAATCTCAGGTGTGTGCCCCTCCCCTTTTGCTGTCGACGGCCCCCCAGCGTTCGCGCGCTGCGGAGCGAGCGAGCTGGTTCTGAGACCCTTCCAGCGGCTGCTGCAGGCCCGTTCTCGGCAGAGCCGGATTTACCTGGAGATAAGCGAGGTGATATTCCAGGAGCGCCTGCGCGTTGCTGATGTTCTCCCGCGTGCCAACGAAGATGAACGGGACCATTCCCTAGGAGAGAGGAGATTCGGTCACGGCACGGCCGTCCCCCGTGTGCCCCCCACCCTGCCAGCGGCCGCAGCCACCCCCACCCCGATCCGCCCCCACTTACCTCCTCTCGGGGGTTTTTCTTGTCATTGTCCCCTTCCACCCGCACCCGCACCACTCCCGACTTGTCGACGATCTCCTGGATCACTTTGCCGTTCTTGCCGATCACTTTCCCTGGCGGGGCGAGCGGAGAGGTGAGCCCCACAGAAACCCCGGCTCCCAAAGCAACAGGGTCCCCCCCACTTTAACCGGACACACACACCCACAACAGCCCACCCCGCTCTCCGGGCTTTTCCCAACCCCCTGACTTTCGAGGGACCCGTTTAACAACAGACCCACAGAACGTCATTTTTAGCATGTTCACGACTCCTCATGGGTGCCCTGACCGCCGGTGCGACGCCAGCTTTCGTTACGGGACATTGTGTTGGTGAACAGACTCCACTGCACATCGGTGCCCTCCGCTGGTTGGCACCCCGAGCTTCTCGGGGCATACGCGGTCACTCTCATTCGTAGCCCACTTCCCTTTGAGGCGCCCGCGCCAGCACGGTGCCGTGGTTACGTGTCCGGGTCCCCGGAGGGTCACTACAGAGCACAGTCGCTGTCATGACACCTACCGACCAGGTTTCTCGGGACTTGAACGGAGTCTTCAGAGAACTCCAGGTAGCTCCGGGCCTGCTTGCACGCTTCCGGAGTCTGCGGGGAGGAGACAACGGTCAAATAACGGAGCCAGGGAGAGAACCCAGGAGTCCTGGCTCCCAGCCCCCTCCCCCCCCCAATCTCCTGGAGCCGGGGATAGAACCCAGGAGCCCCGCCCGGCCCTCACCTCCCCGTAGATGCGGAAGGTGCAGGTCTCCTCGTCCAGCTCGATGGCGGTGACGCCTGGCACCTTCCGGGCCTGCTGGATGTTGGCGCCGTGGGTGCCGATGGCCAGCCCCATCAGGTCTTCGCGGACCGTGAACTCCTCCTGGAACGCCGAGGCCAGCTGCTTACTCGTCTGGGGAGAGAAAGAGCGCTGGGACGCAGAGCGGGGAGTCAACGGAGCGGCCGGGGTGGGGGTGGGGGAGCGCCGACCCCTGGCTCCAGTGTCACCCCCCATGGAGCCCAGGTCAGGTGACCGGCCGGGCAATCACCGGGGAAGCCCTGGGCAGGCCGTGTACAGCCGCCTATTCCCCGCCCCGCAGCGTCCGTGTGGCGAGAAAGCCAGAGGCCCGCTGGCCCGCGGCGCCTCCCCCACCCCCCTCCCCGGGTATGGGCCGTCGCCCGGACGCCTGGGTTCCTCACCTCCAAGTGTTTGTTGGCTTCCTCGTTCCGCGACATCAGCATGAGCTTGGTGCGGATGCTGCGCAGGTGCATGTCCCCCAGCAGCGACGCCCGCTTTACCGTGGATTCGTTCGTCGACTGGGAAGGGGGGGGAGGAAGACGAGCGGTGTCGGAGATCGGCAAGGTAGCCCCCGCCTCCCGCCGGCCGAACTACCAGGCCAGCAGGAATCTCGGGGGGCTAGCCAGCCGCAGTGACCGGCGAGACCTGGCCAGACGGTTGCATTAGGACCGAGAAGCCCCCCGACCACACCCGAGGGTCCCCGCCAATTCCTCCCGACCCCAAGAACGGCGTGGGGCAAGGCAAGCCAGGAGGGCAGCTGGAAAGAGGCTCCTCCGAATCAGCCTGGAGCATCGGGTCCACCCCGTCGCGGCTGATCTCCAATGAGCGCGCCCCGCTACCCTCCGCTGCCTCACTCACCAGGATGAAGAGCTCGCTGCTGGCCACGCTCAGGAAGATGCAGTTGGCCCCCACCGCCTTCTTGAATTCTTTATGCACGTTTTCGCTGGAGCACCTGAGCGGAGAGGGGACAGGGTGAGCGGAGCAGAGACGAGGGGCAGCGGGAGCCCCCCAAAATGGTCTGTCCGGTCTGTGGCAAAGCCGGGAATAGCACCCAGATCTCCAGAGTCCAGAACTGGATTGGCCAACGGTTAGGGGACTTTCCTTTACAGTAGAATAATGTCAGTCAGTTTCCCCACACAGCCAAGCCCCAAGTTAGAGCAGCCTCTGGGCTGCTCTAACTCATGCTAGAGTCTGGGCAGACCACAGCGCCTGGTCTCTGGCTCCTTCCCCATGGAGGAAAAGCCATGCTAGCAACTTTTCTTTTGTCCAAGCCCGCGTAGCTCCCCCCCCCGCGCCAGGATCCCCGCCTCGCTCACGCTTCCTTGAGGTCCTCCGGCACGGCGATGGTGTATTTGAAGAAGCTGGATTTGGTGGCCACTTTGTTGGGGTTGACGGGCCGGAGCCGCTCCAGCGTGACGATTTCGTTGTAGGTGGCATCGCAAGCTGCGTATTCGATGACGTAAAACTGAGGGGGGGAGGGAGAGAGAGATTGGGTGAGAGCCGGGGATTTGGGGTGGGGAGGAGAGAGCTGACCGCAGACCCCGAGAGGGGCTGTGCCGTTCAGACGTAGCCGGGTGGGGGAGAGACGGGACAACCGTGCTCAACGCTGTTTTCAGATGGAATTAGCCTGTGGACCTCACTGCCACTGGTAGGAGCTGGAGGGGGGCCATGCCGCTGCTTCTGGGAGCGGCCCCCGACCCTGCTCCCCGGCCGGAGCGGGGCAAGCCCCAGACCCGAGCTCGAGGGCCAGCGTAAAACGGCGGGCCCATGAAGCACAAAGGATTCTGGGATAGATACAAGCGATCGGAGATGGTGGTGGGGGGGGGAAGGGGGAGGGAGGCAGAAAAATCCTCAGAAACTTACATCTCCTTTCATCATCCGGACCCTCGCCAGCCACCAGCCGCACGGCTCGTGCTCATTGGCTCGGGAATAAACCTAGAGAGACAGGTCAATATAGTCAGCGGGGGAGCCAGTGAGGATAGCGGGCTCATGGAGGCACCCCTCCACCCCCCCAAAAAGCACACCCCCTACCTCCACTTCGTCCCCTTCGGTAATCTCTTTATTGTAGTCCGCGGGCGGGGGGAGCCGTACGTCGCCGAAGGGGATCTGCCGCTCTGGCTGCCAGCTGTGAAGAGACATGAGACCGAGATTGGATTCGCCTGTAGGTGGCACCGCAGACTGGGACTAAGACGGACACGCTGAAGAGACAGCACCAGGCCCCAGGCACCCACACGGCCGGAGACGGTCCCTGCCTTGGGAGAGTTTACCATCCATGCAGACAAAGGAAGGATTATTCCCCCTTCTGGAAAGCGGGAAGAAGACTCCAGAGTGCTTTATAACCAGCCTTTCCACCCTCGTCCCCGCAATTTTGGGATCGTCGTCTATGTCAAGTGTAAGCGCTTTCTGATCTGTGTTTGTACAGCCTGCAACTCAGACGCCGCCGCAATCTGACAACCGCCACGCAGCCACGAGATGTATTTTGCAACAGAAAGAGAGCACCGAACGCGGGGTGGGGAGAAACTTTCCCTTCGGCTAAACCCAGCTTAATTTCCAGCCGCTTCGGATCTCCGCCCGAGGAGGGATTTTCGCCTCGCTGTTTGTTTTAATGATTCACGTATGTGCGTTTGCAATTAGCTGCTCCCGTGCGGACTCGAGACGCCAGTACTCAATGCAGCCCAGGGCTTTTTGCGACTCAGTCGGCGTATTTCGGATGGAGAGGAAGCAGACACGTTGAACGCCACCATGTATCTTAAGCACAAGACATTTCAGCTTCTTGCTAGTCTGACTCAGGGCTGGTGCTGTCTACACACATTTGTAACCCCCTCCACCCACTCCCGGGTTAGGAACTGTCCCAACCCGAGGCTCCAGCGTCTACACTGCGTTATGTGGGCCCCCGTCCAACCACCGATATCCCAAAACATGGCCGCTCTAGCCCATTGCTCATGGTGCAAGGTGAGAAGACTTGACTGTCCACCGAACTTAGAATCATAGAATCTCAGGATTGGAAGGGACCTCAGGAGGTATCTAGTCCAACCCCCTGCTCAAAGCAGGACCAACCCCAACTAAATCATCCCAGCCAGGGCTTTGTCAAGCCGGCCTTAAAAACCTAAGGATGGAGATTCCACCACCTCCCTAGGTAACCCATTCCAGTGCTTCACCACCCTCCTAGTGAAATAGTGTTTCCTAATATCCACCCTAGACCTCCCCCACTGCAACTTGAGACCATTGCTCCTTGTTCTGTCATCTGCCACCACCGAGAACAGCTGAGCTCCATCCTCTTTGGAACCCTCCTTCAGGTAGTTGAAAGCAGCTATCAAATCCCCCCTCACTCTTCTCTTCTGCAGACTAAATAACCCCAGTTCCCTCAGCCTCTCCTCATAAGTCATGTGCCCCAGCCCCCTGATCATTTTTGTTGCCCTCTGCTGAACTCTCTCCAATTTGTCCACATCCCTTCTGTAATGGGGGGCCCACAACTGGACACAATACTCCAGGTGTGGCCTCACCAGTGCCGAACAGAGGGGAATAATCACTTCCCTCGATCTGCTGGCAATGCTACTAATGCAGCCCAACATGCCATTGGCCTTCTTGGCAACGAGGGCACACTGCTGACTCATATCCAGCTTCTTGCCCACTGTAACCCCCAGGTCCTTTTCTGCAGAACTGCTGCTTAGCCAGTCGGTCCCCAGCCTGTAGCGGTGCATGGGATTCTTCCGTCCTAAGTGCAGGACTCTGCACTTGTCCTTGTTGAACCTCATCCGATTTCTTTTGGCCCAATCCTCCAATTTGTCTAGGTCACTCTGGACCCTATCCCTACCCTCCAGCGTATCTACCTCTCCCCCCAGCTTAGTGTCATCCGCGAACTTGCTGAGGGTGCAATTAATCCCATCATCCATTAATAAAGATGTTGAACAAAACCAGCCCCAGAAAAGTCGGCTTGCGGGATGTTTTTGGTGGACTCCCAGCGTGAGGTTGTATCTGCACTGCCAAGCAATAGAATCATGGACTATCAGGGTTGGAAGGGACCTCAGGAGGTATCTAGTCCAACCCCCTGCTCAAAGCAGGGCCAACCCCCAGACAGATTTTTGCCCCAGATCCCTAAATGGCCCCCTCAAGGATTGAACTCACCACCCTGGGTTTAGCAGGCCACTGCTCAAACCACTGAGCTATCCCTCCCCCCAATACTTGAACCCTGGGGCCCGGCTTGACTCAGCCTGGGCCCCCCGGTCAGAGCGATGCTTGTGTGTGTTTGGGATTTGGAAACCAGACGTGAACAGCTGTCGGGAGGTGGGGAAGCTACAGCTGTCTCGGCAGGGAAATTTCACCTGCTCAGCAACGCGGCTAGAAACCCCATAAGGACACCACAGCCAACCGAGGTATTTGAGGAACGGAGTGCGTTCGACGCTCAGTGGACTGCTCGGATCTATGTGGCTCATCCCCCCCCCAGCTTAGACAGAATCACAGTCAGGAAGCAGAGGGAGTCGGCGTAGCATTTGACCCGGGTGTTCAGCAGGCTCTAGGAACTGGTGACAGTGCTGTAATCTCACAATCTAGGTGCGAGCAGGTTAATGACACTGGGATTTGCATGGTTAATTACACTACCGTCCTAACTACGGACAGCTGCGCTATCGCGGAGCAGCAGGCTGGCTGCAGAGTGCGCCCCCTGAAGCGTCGGCCGCTGCTCTAGCTGGCAGTCCTCCAGCGTTACTAGTTTTCACCGGTCGAGCCGAAATAGAGCCCCAGAGCGAACACGATGCCCTGAAATCAGCCAGGCAAGCGCAGAAATTCAAGGAAAACTGGCACCTGCTCAACTAGGTTCAATCCAACAGGCAGCGCCTCGAAGCTTTAAAATGTGGAAAGGTCGATTGCCTGAGATCAGCTGTTGAACGGAAATCCACTCAGAAGCCGTGTAGGGACCGGGGTCTTTTACTTACACATCGGCTAAGAGAGACAGCCGGGGCCTGTAGTTGTGGCGCAAGTTGATTTAAACCCCGTTTCGCCTGTTACTGGTTCAGAAACATTTCCAGTTCCCTGGTTAAAGAGCCACACGCCAGGCAAAGTAGATCGAAACAGAGCAACTGGACTCCTGTTTAAACACCAATCTCCCCTGCACAGTTTGGGGTGGAGAATATTTTTTGCTTCCTGCGCTACCCCCTTCCACCCCAGAGGTGGCCCCATCGCAGTGCTGGCTGAACAGATGGCACACCCCAGAGGTGGCAGCCTCTCAGGGTTGGCCTGTCTGCCATGCCATCTGCATTCTCAGCTACCTACCAAGCTGCGTTTAAGGGCTCTGATATTCCTGCACGCGGACAGCAGGCTTTTAAAAACCGGGCCGTCTGCCTTTCCTTTCCCACCGTGCACCGAGAGGTTTGCCAACAAACATGCTCCTAATGACGCTGCTTCCTCCTAGTCGCTGATGCTGGGAGACACAAACGCCCAACTAACATCACCGAAGGAACCCGGCCGGTCGGAAAGAGAAACATTTAACAGGGGAGCAGCTCAGTACCTGTAGAGACAGCGCTTAGCACGATGCGGCCCTGAGATCTCAGCCCTAGCATCGATCCTCACAATCCTGCCAGGCGGTAGAGTGACAGCTGCCAATCTAGAGGCATTCCCGGGGGCGGGCGGCTGGCTTATTAAGAGTGAGTCAGTTCCATTCACATGCCACAAACAGCAGCAACTAAATTTGGAAAAGCGGCAGCCTGCTAGTTATGCTGGGCCTCAAGGCCCCGTGTCAGATACCCTGAGTGCAGCAGCGTTATTTAGGGCTCTGAAGCGGGGACTGTGGCATCCCTGTATTTCCACCGTGCACCGACTCCAGCGGGGTCGGCTGAGGTGCCCATCGGCCCTACAGCCGCACGCTAACAACCCTCCTGCCGCGGAACGGCGTAGGGTTGACATTTACAATCCATTCGCTTGCACCAGGGCCTTGGAACCGAAAGCAACAGCTTGTCCCGCAGCGGCGGGCCGAAGTTCCGCACACGCCGGTCCCACTAACGATCTTAATAGATGATTGGATACCTCCAGCCTGCCGTTGAGGGGAAGTGGCAGGAGGCATCACGCCCCCTTTTTAATTTTCGAGAAACCCTCACACCCCCCACCTCTCCTTTACCATCACCCAACTGCCCCTGCTCCTTGTCCCCTGACCGCCCCCCTCCCGGGTTCCCCCGGGACCCCACCCCCTATCCAAGCCCCCCTGCTCCCTGTCTCCTGACTGCCCCGACCCCTATCCACCCCCCCACCCCGACAGGCCCCCCCCGGGACTCCCATGCCTATCTAACCCCCTCTTCTCCCTGTCCCCTGACCGCCCCCTCCTGGGATCCCACCCCCTATCCAAACCTCCCTGCTCCTTGTGCCCTGACCCCTATCCACACCCCCACCCCGACAGGCCCCCCCCCGGGACTCCCACGCCTATCCAACCCCCCTGTTCTCTGTCTCCTGACCGCCTCCTCAGAACCTACGCCCCATCCAACCGCTCCCTGTCCCCTGACTGCCCCCCCCCGGGACCTCCTGCCCCTTATCCAACCCCCCCTCTCTCCGCTCCCCACCCCCCAACCAGGCCGCTCAGAGCGCCAGGACTGGCTTATTGGAAAGCTTGGGAGGTGGGCAAGCAGAAGCCGTGCTGCCCGCATGGCGGCGTAGCTGCAGGGGAGGGGGGGACAGGAGGGGAGGGACCAGGGGCTAGCCTCCCCGGCCGGGAGCTCAAGGGCCAGACAGCCTCGCGCCCCCCTTGGAATTTCTTCACGCCCCCTAGTTTGGGAACCAATGGTCTAGTGGGTTAGCACGGGTGGGCTAGGAGTCAGGAACCCCGGACGATATCCCCCAATTCTGGAAGGCGCACGGGGGTCTAATGGGTAGTCACAGGAAGGGTCTGGGGGGGCCAGGACACCTGGGTTCTATCCCCAGGGCTGCCACCAACTTGGCTGTAGGGCCTGACCATTTTCGACACAGGAAAGCGGCCATTGAAAACAGCTGACAATTGGTCAAAGGAGAGGCAGAGTTAGGTAGGATTGGGATCTGCGACCGTAACGGCCTCGGTCTGAAAACGTCTCAGTTCTCCCCCCTACTGGAGCGTGTCTCAGTTCTCCCCCAGATGCCCAAGCTCGGAACGAGGACAAACGGAGGCTAGGCCCAGGACCGCCCCCTCCCGCCAGGGGTCTCCGGCGGATACTTACTTGTTCTCGAAGGATATCGTGACCGAGTCTTCGTGCACATCTTTCACGAAACCCTGCGGAGGGAGAACGGAAGAAAGCATGAGCGATCCTCAGGGCAGTACGTTCTGTTTGACAGCAAACCCGGATATTAACGACTTCATTATGGGGAGGCTGTGGGCAGGGCAGTAGCAGGGATCGGTGGATAATTGCAACTTTCTGCTGGCAACCAAGGGGTTGCTAATAAGGAGAATCTGCTGTATCTGCAGCCAGCCACACACCGCCCATGTGCAGAATTAAGAGCTCAGCATTACAGCCTTGTGTCCAGAGCCCTGGTTCCTGGAGTCAAATGATTTTAGCAGCATCTAGGGTTTCGTTTTTTTAAAAAAATTAAATTTCTAGCTCTCACGGTTGTGAAGAAACACCCGACATGTGACCGGAGTGTAACGGACACAGCGACATCTGCCTGAAACTATAACTCAGAGAAGGGTGAACTGCCCCAAGGATAACTGACTCAGCCAGGCTGCCTGAGTCTGCAGAGAGCCTGAACCAATCCCTCTCAGCAAGGGGAACTGTCCCATGCATTTCAATGGGGTGTCAATTCCAAACCCTGTAGCACTGCTCCCCCTCACCCCCCCAGCCAACCCTATCCCAGAAGAGGGCTCTGTGTGGCGTTGAGGGGGGAGGCATGGCAGACCTGCTGCTTCATTCATGCAGACACACCCCAGCCCCCAGATCTCTAGGGGGAATACGGGGGACCTATGCTGCTATCCCTTTCACCCCCTTGGGCAAACCACATGGGCCTTGTGCCTCAGTTTCCCCATATGTAAAATGGGTACGACACCCCTGACCTCCCTTGTAAAGAGCTTTGAAGTCTAGTAAGGAAAAGTGCTATCTAAGAGCTAGATGGTATCAATCCAGCGCTCCATTTATAACCATCCTCCCTCCCCCAAACAGTGATTAGGGTTTTAGATTGCCGTACTTTCCCCCTCTCCCTGCTTGACGCATCTTCACAGGGCGCCCTGGTTTTCAGGAAGTGCTGGGCAAGTTTTGGTGGGTGCGCTGGACTTTCTGCAGAATCAGCCCTCAGCCCCCCCCCAAATTCTCCTAGTCACTTGAAAGTTTCGGCTAGAATCCCCAGGATGTGTTGTCAGGATTGGGCTCGGAACCGGGGTCTGCCACCGACGCCGTGCGTGGCTTCAGTTCCTCATTTAAAAGTCTTTTGTCTATTTTGATTGTTAGCTGTCTTTCACTGCAGCTGTGGAGTGCCCAGCCCAATGGGGGGCAGCCTGCCCAGATCTCGGCCAGGAGGCCCGCCCAGCCCAAGGGGGGGCAGCCTGCCCAGATCTCGGCCAGGAGGCCCACCCAGCACCTGGCGCTACTCCTGATTAGGGCTATTTGATTGTAGCCATCAGCATCTCCCAGGAGACTCTGCGAGGTGCGGTGGGGGTGGGGGGGCAGGCGATCTTGTTCTGCATTTGGAGTCTGGGGCCTGGGACAAGAATGCCTCCCCAGTCCAACCGGTGACGGGACTAACAGGTGCCGAGAGAGGCTCTCCCGGCACTGCCACCCACCCCAGCCAACAGCTGCCTGTTTGTCGCTAGCACGCTGTTAAAAGCCTCAAGACCCGTCTGCTGCAGGAGCAGGGTTGCGCTCCTGAATAAAATCCCTCCCGGCCTTAAAAACTCTGACTCTAAGTTCTTGGCCTCACTGATTTCATGTGGCAGCGAGTTCCACAAGCTAATCACACGCCTCGTGGGGGGGGGAAGTGATTTCCTTTGCTCAGTTTTGCGTTTGCTGCCGTTCCGTTTCGCTCGGTGTCCCCTTGCCGTGGTTTTGAGAGACAAGGACGAGAGAAACTCCTGCTCTACCGTCTCTTTCCCAGTCATTACATTACAGACTTGTGTTCTCTTCACTCCTCCCTTTTCTCGGGTAACAATCCCACAACAAACTGATGGCCGTTTTCAGGGGTGGGAAGGAATCTTCCCCCAGGTTAGATTGACAGGGACCCTTGGGGGCTTTCACCTTCCTCTTCAGCTTAGGGGGGGCAGGTTGCTTGCTAGGATAATCTGGGTACATCTCACCTAATTAATTCCCTGCCTTAGGCACTGGTGTCACCTCAGTCAGCTCCTATTCCCTGCCTGTGGCACACAACAGTTTGACCTCCCGAGGGCTGTAACGCTTTAATCTAATCCAGGGCATCAGCTCAATACAGGGGTGACAGTGGGGTTCAGTGGCCGGTGATGGAAAGGGCAGGCTAATGAGCTGATGGGCCATTCCGGCCTTAATTTCTCTTCACGTAAGCCAGGCTATCGATCATTTTCACCGCCCTTCTCTGAACCCCCTCTAACTCTGCCACCTCCTTTTTAAGGTCATCTCCAGATAAGGCACCACCGTTGATTTCCAGAAAGGCATTACAATATATTCTGTGTTATGTAGGATGGGGCCCTCATCCCAGTTGGGCCGCTAAACACTGCCCAAAACAAAACAAAAGAGTTATGATTGCTACAGTATTTATCATTTTATTTTTTATAGGGACTACAAAATCCAGAGCCAATTCCCTTTTCCGGCTGTTTTAACCCCCCCAGTCAACACCTTCTGGACACACTCATTTGGAGTCTGATACCAGGGATTGGCCTGCTAAACCCAGGGTTGTGAGTTCAATCCTTGAGGGGGCCATTTAGGGATCTGGGGCAAAAATCTGTCTGGGGATTGGTCCTGCTTTGAGCAGGGGGTTGGACTAGATACCTCCTGAGGTCCCTTCCAACCCTGATAGTCTGTGATTCTATGACAGGAATGCCTTGGTTGCACGGGTGAACAGGTGCTTAGAGAGACACCCCCCCCATACCCCCCTACTCAGAAGCTAATTCTTCAAATGGGCTTATGATTAAGGCTCTGGATAGAGACTCTGGTCTGGGGTAGATTCCCAGCTCTGACTCTGGGAAAGCCACTTAACTGTCCGTGCCTCGGTTTCCTCACCCACAAAATGAAAATAGCTTTATCCTATGGAAGGGAGGGAAATAGTATCTCTTTCCAGGAGGCGCTCAGATATTACGGGATGGGAGGGATAATATAGAAACAGAAACAATGACAGCACCGAAGTTAAGTTCAGAGAGTTTAAAGCCGGAAAGGACCATTAGATCACCTAGCACGACCTGTATATCGGAGGCATTTCAGTTTCACCCAGTCATCCTGAGTCCAGTAACTTGTGCCTGCCTAAAACATATCTTTAGCCGAAACAGTCTTGATTGGAAACCATCAAGAAACGGAGAATTCCTCAGGAGATCTGAGGTTTTAACACATAGGGAAGGGAGGCACAGAGAAATAAACCCACGGCCCAAGGTTAGAGGGAGCGAGATCAGAATCTCAGCCCCATAGCTAGCTTTCCTCTCCTTTGTTCTGAACACAGAGCCCGAAATGTGACAAGTTTCATGCCAGGTGCTTTTCTGACTCGCTGGTCTTTAAGGGGGATTCACCGCTGGGAACGGTAAAACATGATCTGCGAGACAGACGTTTTGGAAGTCATGCAGAAGATGCCAACCATCGACAACAAAAGCAGCTCAAATGGTCCTAAGTGCTGGAAAACAACTGGTGAATCGGAGCAGCACCAACAAACGCAGGAACTCCGGCACTAACTCTGAACAGGGCATCAGACAACCCTGACTTCAGAGTTCAAACATTAAAGATCAGGGAAGCGGGACTCGAGCAAGAACAATTATTTCCCTGGACAAGTTATTACAGAGGCCGATATTACCCCAGGTACCTCTAAGATATCTGCATTAGAGATGGGATCTTTCCACGTGAAAGCTATCTGCTATCAAGATGCCGACACTCGCATCCAATCAGCCCACAATGCCAGCTTCCAAACCACCGCTTAAATTTTCAAATGCACACCATTGTGCTTTCTCCAATGGAACTCTCCGTACGCACCGCCCAAAAAACGAACGAAACCTCCTTCAAACCCCTCCTCAAACTCAATATCGTCTCCCTGTTTCCTTGTACTCCCCTATCTGACTGTATCCATCTGTTGTCTCATCACACAGACTGTAAACCAGGGGTGGGCAAACTACGGCCCGTGGGCCGGATCCGGCCCAGCAGCCGTTTTAATCCGGCCCTTGAGCTCCCGCTGGGGAGTGAGGTCTGGGGCTTGCCACGCTCCAGCCAGGGAGCAGGGTTGGGAGCCGCTCCAGGAGGCTCCTAGAAGCAGCGGCATGGTCCCCCCTCCGGCTCCTACATGTAGGGGCAGCCAGGAGCCTCTGCTCTGCATGCTGCCCCCGCAGCTCCCACTGGCCGGGAACTGTGGCCAATGGGAGCTGCAGGGGCGGCGCCTGCAGGTGGGGCAGCTGGAGTGGGGACATGGCTGCTGCTTCTAGGAGACGCTTGAGGTAAGCGCTGCCCAGAGCCTCCACCCGAGCCTCTCCCCGCACACCAACCCCCTGCCCCAGCCCTGATTCCCCTCCTGTCCTCCAAACCCCTCAGTCCCAGCCCAGAGCACCCTCCTGCACCCCAAACTCCTCATCCTCAGCCCCACCCTGGAGCCCGCACCCCCAAGCAGAGCCCTCACCCCCTCCCGCACCTCAACCCCAATTCTGTGAGCATTCATGGCCCGGCATACAAAAAGTTTGCCCACCCCTGCTGTAAACAATTTGGGGCATAGACTCTCTGTTCTGAGAGCGCTGTAGAGGAGATATCCCCTGATTTTAGGAAGGCTTTTTGACACCGTCCCACATGGCAGCCTCCAAAGCAAACTAGGGAAGCGTGGTCTAAAGGAAGGCGCACAACTGATTGAAAGGCCGCACTCAAAGAGCAGTTATCAATGGTTCACTGCTAAACTTGGGGGGGCATATAGCGCTGAGTCCGTTACGATCCGATATTGTCCATGACTGTCTTGGATAACTGAGTGGAGAGGATGCTTATCAAATTTGCTGACGACGCTAAGTTGGGAGGGGTTTCGCTTTACAAATCTTGATCTAACCAGAGAAACTGATCAACCCCCCTCGCCCGCTCCCCACACACACAGACCCCCAGCACCACCACACATTTGCCCCCCAATCCAGAGATGGTAATTAAATCCTCT